TAGTGTTCACTGGTTTTCTGTACATTTACAGTCTTACTAAAAAAACTTTTTTGTCATCAACTATAAATAATAAAGTGAGTAATATTCCTGTGCCCCCAGAGGCATACATACTTAATATGCAAGAAGTGGAATCATAGGGTTTGGATATACGTATATGTCGTGACTTGTTTTCGCACTGTGGAATAACATCCTGAATTATAGTTGTGTAATTAGGCTGGAAAGATTTGTTAAGGATTAGTAAATGCTGTCTAACAGATGTTCCTCCCCAAAACATCATGAAAGATTTCTGCAACTGTGAAAAAGTAAAGAAAGGAGAAGCAGCAGGAGAGGGGTCTCTCATATGTAGTTAACTTTGATACAGCTGTCAATTATTTCTAGGAATTTACTGATATGAAATGAGTTTTACTTTGAGACACCACTATGTACCTTGATGCTCTTCAGTTTCTTAATGTTTTTTACTTGGTACCATTTTGTATTTGAATCTTCTTTTAGCTTTTTGCTAGTTCAAAGCTTTATCAACACAGTATAGCATTACTCTCATCGCGATTTGGTTTAAAACCATGCTACCGATGTATCTACAGTAGGTCAGGGCCTCGCTGGGCCTTTCTGGATTTGCTGCCTCTTCAGAGAAACAGAATTGGCGATGACCACCATTGTGCAAGCATGAACCCCAGCCGTTTCACAGGCAGCATGGCTTCACACCTCTGGATGTGCCTGCCTTTATGCTGCCCGGTCAAACGTTGTCCAACACGGCCTCTAAAAGCACATGAGAGCCCCTGACCCGAAGCCCTGTGACAGCCCCTGGCCAAGCAAGCTGCACCACGCCTCGTCCAGCCTCGGCAGAGGTCAGGTTCCCCGGCACGGCAGATGCAGGCGTGGATCTCTGTACGCAGCTCTGAACACGCACGCAGCTGCAATTGTCTGCTGATTGTTTGTTGTAACAACAAAAGCTGCTCAGTCACATCGGGTCTGCTGTAACGCGGAGTAGCTACACAGCGAGCACAACCGCACACGCTCTTACAGCCCAGGCAGAGCTACTCATAAGCAGTGCCTTGTTTACTGGTGCGCAAAATTACACCCCAATAAGCCACGAGTATCGTAAGGAAGGGGAACAAAGATAGCAGCAGCATTGAGACGGAAGACTTCCCCAACGGGACTTCTCTTCTCCTGAAATTCAACAGCAGAACTGAGGTTCAGGCTATCAAGTGATGAAGACGAGTTTGTGCTGACTGTGAACAGGGCAAGGCAGACAGCTGAGCTCCGAATTGCCTTCATCTAGCATAGCTAACTCTGTCAGAGCTGGGTTTTTGGAGCCCTAACTCCCTGATTTCACCAGTGATATTTGTCACTCCATTATTTCTTCAGCCTACTGGAGAAATCACAGTTAACCAATGGTTAATTTAATCTCGCTATCCAGATTAAATCCCTCACTGCATAGACCAGCAGTTTTTAACCTAGTGAGGAGTGAAGCTCTGCCAGTTTTCCCACGGGAGCCTCATCTGCAAAAACGGGAAGGGACTGGCATGTGTGCTCTCCGGAGCTGCCTGCTCATGCACCACCCTAGCACGTCAGTTTGCTGTGACCCCCCAACAAACTCCTAACTGGGATTTGGGTGCTGCTGGGAGAGCTAAGCAGTGAGCGGGGCTTGCAGAAAAGAGCAGCTCCCCTCCAGATCTATCCAACATGAAATCTTGTTTCTCCTTTTCTTACAAATAGGGGTGAGAAGGTAAATGGAACATGCTGGAGCAGGAAGAGGTGACAGATGGTGGATATTAAAAAGACTCTTTAATTACAGGATTTGGAGAGAGGGTCCTTTATGGAGATAATTTTTTAATTGTTGCTTTTTTTAGGAAAATAATCCCAGTGCTCCCAAGCAGTTCCCGTTAGTGAAAGCCCTGGTCTCTGAGCGCTGTTGACTCTAATCACTTCAACACAGAGAAAAAGAAAATGCTGTGCTTGTTAGAACTCCTTGGTTAAACTTCAACTTCTTCTGCAGAGAAGTGTTTGTTTCCTTCCATCTGCTGCCTTTGCAAGGAAGGAAAATCAGCCTGTTCAGATACCAGGAAGTTCTTCAACATTTGAACAGCTAGCTGTAAACGCAGAAACAATAACATGCATAAATTATCATACCTAAAAATACCCTGCATGCTGGTCACACATATAACCCAGCCCTGGAGCAATTCCTAAGTAACTTAAGACTGCGTGAAGTATGCAGATACACGGGATGTGGGCAGAACAGGGCAGCTGTGGCAGCAGGTGCACGTGCCTGGCTCTCTTGCACCGTTGTAGTTTTTTCCTCTCATCAAAACATGTTTTGCTTTTACTGGGAGCTGCCGGCTGCCTCCTACGTCTTTGTGCACCGTATCTGCCAAAGCCACTTGTACAGGAGATTAAACCGAGAGCCAGACCCTTTGCAATCGACAGAGACCCACAGCATTTGAATTTAAACCAAATGCATCCTGACACTGGGGCTGTGTGAGCAGCGTGGTAGGATGCTGTAAGGCTGATCCTCAAATGCAGCAGCTCTCCATACCGCCGAGGGGGCAAAGTGCAGTAAAGAAGACAAGGCAGGCGGCAGGGATGGGGTGATGGCTGTCCACAGGCCGCTCTGATGGCAGACAAACCCAACAACCCGCAAGTCACCCCAGGGGGGGACATGGTTGTTGCCCTACAGCTCACCGCTGTGGGAAGTCCACGATGTCTCTTGCAATCAATTCCTGTGCGGTCTGTGCCTCCAGTATTTGCTTTTCAGAAACCTCCAAGCCCTCGCCGTGTTTCCATGGTAACGCTGAGCAATCCGATGTGGGTTATTTGCAGAATCGAGGTGCTGGTGCACTCTCCCTTCCGAGCCCTGCAGCAGTTTCGGCTTTGCACACCAGAAGCTGCAGGTGTGCTGCAGTAACGGTGATGTGTTCTTCACCGCAACTCCCATGTCGGCGTGCAGGTCGGGGGGTATGCTCACCAGATTCCCTTCGTGCCAGCAGTACCTGGCAAATGGTCTGAAGCGGCCCCAGGATGGGAAGTGTTCAGACCTCAGCCAGGTCCCCGCTGCCCCTCCATCCCAGCGGAGGCACAGCCCCCCATTTAGTCAGCGCCTCTGTCCTGGGCCTGTGAACCCACAGGACCGATGGGTCTAACACACCAACACAACCCCGATGGGAAAAGTGGAAAAGCTGTTTCACACAGAGCCAAAGCCCAGGCTGCCCTGCACTGCAGGAGAGCAGAGGATGCTGCTGCTGTCAGCTCTTCACCCAGCACTACAGCCACCGAAATACTTTCCTGCCTGCTGGCTAACCACTGCTGATGGAAATACACAGCGCTTTCAATTTATTTAGTCTCTGTGGCCTAAAACTCTTCCCGTGTCCAACCACAGCCGTCTGGCTATGGCCCGTCACACCCATCATTCCCCATCCAAATGCAAACCAAGCCAGGACTTCTCAGCATCCACGATGAGACAGTATCAGGAGCACTCAGCCTAGCCAGGTCGTTTAAATTATTAAAATAAGAAGGAACTGCACGGGCTGGATCCTAGCAAAGCAATTTGTATGTTATTCTTTCTTCTAATGAAAGTGAAAAGCTCTCTAACTTTGAAGTAAGAGCTTTGCATCTCAACAACGAACCAAGACTTTGCAAGGAGAGGTCGGGCACGTTTCCATCACAGCTTGAAGGCAGCCAGAGGAAGAGCAGAAAGGTCCTTTTGGGATACCACTGCTGTCAGGAGCAGCACAAACATCCGCAGGTCACGGTCTGTTCACTGGAGAGGGGCTCTGCTCCTGCAGCCGAAGCCCCAGAATGACCCCGAAGCCCCAGAACGACCCCGACGTGCCCTGAAGCGGGTGCCTACAAAATGCTTCACGTGTGAGAGCTACTCGTTCCTGCCTGGGACACGGCTGGCGGCTTCGCTTTAGGGATCGTGGGTGGCTGCGAGACACCCAGAGCGGCTGAAGGGCCGAGTCGGGCATGTCCCTGCAGTGACGGGGACGCCCGGGGAGAAGCAAGAAAGAGTAAGGAGATTTAAAGATCTAATTGCCTTTTTAATGCATCTGGGGAAAACGCTGGTTCCCAAATGCTTTGTCCCAGCATAAAGCACATTTCCAGTGTTCATAACTATGATTCATTTGAACAGATCGCTAGCAGCCCAAGCACTTCATTACTGGTGTATTTAACCGCTTCTTTGAATTCTAACCCTAAATTCTGACCCTACGATCCCCCCGGCTCGCCGGCCGGGCACGGCGAGG